TACAAACGGATAGCTCAGCAATTGGTACATCCACTTTGCTTTTGCTAATAGCCTTTTTTTTTTAAATCATAAGATAGTCATGCACTACAGAGTTAAAAAGTAAGATATCCAGAAAGCAGATTGGGAAAGATCAGTATAAATTCTTACACAGCCAACACCACACACCAAAGTGGTCCTCCCAATGCATTGGTAGAGTCTAAAACTGTTACACATGATTGCATGTGCTAAGACAGGGCTTTTCAACCTTTTCACCCATTGTACCACTTTTAGGATATGGCAATATCCGAGTACCACCAGTCTCCTAGCAAGGTGTCAAAAACTTGACTAAAAAAAAAAAAGGAAAAAAAGTGATAAAGTACAGGTAGTCCTCGACTTACAACAGTTCGCTTAGTGACTCTTAGAAGTTACAATGGCACTGAAAAAAGTGCCCCCCCCAAGGCACAGCTGAGCAAGACACCTGCCTGCCCGCCCGGCCGTGCTCTTCTTCCTGTCCGAGGTTTCCATTGTTGTGAGCATTTCTGTTGAGGATTGGCAGTGGGGTTGGGGTGGGGGGTGTTTGGTTTTTAACCCCCCCCCATCTTACTGGGTGGTTGCAGCAGGTTTTGGTCACTTCACATGACCCTGGGACACTGTGACCGTCATAAATATGAATCAGTTGCCAAGTATCTGAATGTAAATCACAAGACTCTGGAGATGCTGCAACATTCCAGCTGATCGGCACTTCTTCTGGGCTCAGCAGAAGCACCAGGATCAGTGCTGCTTTCCAGCTGGAGCCTGGCGCTGATCCTGGTGCTTCCGCTGAGCCCTGACAGCCCTGCAGCTCCAGCCATCTCTCGCTCAGACTTGTGTGGTGCTGCCACCGGTTCAGCTCATTCCCCTCCCCCGCTACCACTTTTCTAGGATGGTCGCGTACCACCTGCCAGGTGCCAATGTACCACAGGTGGTACCCGTACCACTGGTTGAAAAGCCCTGTGCTAAGAGACCCTAGTCTGTGGCCCTACTGAGTTGAATTTTTTAAAAATACATTTTTATTAGTTTATCAAAGTATAAAATACAAAGAGAAATTTAAAAAAATAGAAAACTGGGGGGGGGGAGAAAATATGGAGTAAAGAGAGAAAAAGAAAAAGACACCAACTTCCAATTCTCTTTACCACAGTAAAAGATAACCTCAACCTCAACTTTTTACTTTTACGCAACATTATATATTAGCCATTTCTATAGCAGAATTGACTTGAAGTGCAACATACTCAGAGCATGGGGAAAACCAGACATTTCTTTTTGCAATTTCCTAATGCTAATGCAAGCCAGGCCAAATGCATTTGTAAATGTCATCACAGCAAAGGAATTTCACAAAAGGCAGAGCTGAGAAAGGGAGTGCTGGTATTTGTGAGAAGGATATAGGAGTGCCTCTGAATCACAGAAACCGCTCCTCCTTGAAGCAAGGCCTAAGCATAGCCTGCCTTTTCTTCAGTGGAATCCAATTTGCTTTTTCTCTCCTTAGGCTTAGAGAGCTGGGTAGAGACTGCTACTGAAGAGCTCTGACTGATTCATTTAGGGAGTCGAATGAAGAGCTAGCCTTGCCCAGTCTTCTTCACCAGATTTAGGGTTTCAAGAAGTAATTGGAAATTCACTCATTTCCTTGTAGTTGAAAGAAACTTCCGCAGCCCAATAATCTGACGTATCAGGATTGTTAGTGTCAGAGAGAAAGATGTTGAATAGAAACTGCTAAAATTACTAAAAGGAATGTAGGTACTTTGCATCTTATATAAAAACTAAAGACCAAGCTTACTTAGTTTGATTGTACTAGTAAATCAGTCACTTATACTCTGAGCTAATATAAACCAGGGTAATTAAAAGAATTAAGTCTTGATAACATCGTGAAGAGGTTCCTTCAGGGCAGAGGTAGAGAACTATGGCCCCTTTATGACTTGTGGACTTCAATTCCCAGAATTCCTGAGCCAACCATGCTGGCTCAGGAATTCTGGGAGTTGAAGTCCACAGGTCATAAAAATGCCATAGTTCCCCACCCACGTACTAGTCTAGGATATATTTAGATAATAATAACAGCTGATATCCTCTAGATGAGCTTGATTCCTGCAGCTTTCTTCTTCTAGGTTGTTTTTTGTTCTTTCAGATTCAGGATGCTTAAGTAAGCTTCGTTTGTTAGATTCTTAACAAACATAATGAGTATCCAAAACTCCTGTATTCAATTTAAATAGGTCTACAGGTAACTTAGAAATGAGTTTGGGAAAATCTTTTACCCATCTGCAATTCTATATACAACCTCCATCTCTATGGCTTAGGTTAAAACCTGCATGTTTATATACCTCTAGGACTGTGCTTTAAATTAATACTGTCCACTAGTATTCTGCAAATTGTACCTGGCCTTTTATTTTTCTTTCACTAGATTTTACTTAGCATTAATCACATCCTTAGAAAAAGTTGGTTAAAGGGGAGGAGATATGAATGATAACTCATGTGGGAAGAGAAGAGATTGCTTTTAATCTTTGCTGCTGTCTCAGTTCCTGCTCATACATGGAAAATGTGCATCAGTCCACCTGTGTCTCATCCAGCAAATAACCTGGAGCAGAATCATGGTGATAGAAAAGGATTAAACTTCACTCTTCTGGTGCAATGAACAAAACCAATTTTGAAACAATCTACATTAATACAACAATTATACTCTCTATGAATGTAGTTTCCGCTTCTTTCACATTAAAAACTAGTGACAATTGAGAAGGGTATTTTTTCAGCTACAGTTTAGCACAATTGTGCCTTTTCATTAAACATCAATAAGTATTGAGCTATTCTTCATCCTTTAAACATTATGACTTGCTCACATGGAAGGGCTAGGGTTGTTGGGAACATTAAAAAGAGGAGCAAGGACAGAGGTCTTGCAGTCCAAAGACTATTGACTTTCTGTCAGAGATTGCACTGTTATAATCATATGAATGATAACACTTGAAGAGACCTAGGTCCTAGGGTGAAACGTTCATGTCTTCCTTAAAGCTATACACCTACCTCAGCTCCGTTGCCAGCAAATTAGAATTAAAAAAGAGAAGCTTCTGGGGTTTTGCCTATCCCTGAAAAATCTTACAGTGCTCCATATTCCCTGTAATGGTGCAGGAGTGGTGACAGAAGAATGGGGCAACTCGCCATGGGCCAATTCAACAATTCAATTTAATTATTTAAAATAATTTAAAAAATAATTTTGATTTTTTTTTTCACTCACATTTCCCCCCCCCCCCCATTTTGCATCCTTTCTTTGATGATTTATTCCACCATTTCTTCTATATCAGTGTAACTGTTGTCCCATGGTGAGTTGGCCATGGTGAGTTGACCTAGACCAGGGGTCTTCAAACTTGACCCTTTAATGACTTGTAGACTTCAACTCCCAGAATTCCTCAGCCAGGCACACTGGCTGAGGAATTCTGGGAGTTGAAGTCCACAAGTCATAAAAGGGCCAAGTTTGAAGACCCCTGATCTAGACCTTTGATGACAGTATTATCAGCTCAGCTTTTGCTACAGATTTGCCTTTTCTATTCCACTTGTATTGGATAGGGTAAGATTTCACTGACTAGTTTAGGAGCTCCTAAGCAACCATTCTCCAGTTTACAGTTTTGTAGCTCAAACATTTTTAACTTCATATTTTACAGAAAGCAGTAAAATAAAACAACAAACCCCATCTTGTTTCTAAAAAGTGGTAAAAGAAAAAGGGGCCAAGTTCTATACTTGGATGTTTTGTGAGATACCAAGATGTCTTGGTGGTATAGGTGTGTGATCTTGGACAAACATCCCCAACTTGTTATATCTCAGATGTATTGACCATCAACCTCATATTTTACAGGTTAAAGATTGTGGGGATTGTGGAAGTTGAAATCCTATGTAATTGTTGGATATCCATTGGGAAAACCTGATCTGGACAAAGCCTGCAGCAGTTTTACACCTATGTTTTGGCCTCAGAGTTTCTCAGTATTAATATAATTGTTGTGCAAAATCAGCATTTTCAATACATGCGGTCCTCAACTTACAACCATTCGTTAGCAACTGTTCAAAGTTATCACATATTGGAAAAAGTGATTTATGACCGGCCCTCAAACTTACAACCATTGCAGCATCTGAATGGTCACCTGATCTAAATTCCAGCACTTGGCAACCGTTACATATTTATGACAGTTGCAGCACCCTGAAGTCATGTAATCTCCATTTGTGACCTTCCCAGCTGGCTTCTAATAAAGAAAATTCACTCCACAACCAAGGTAAAAAGATCATAAAATTGGGCACAACTCACTTAACAATCATGTTGCTTAGCATCGGAAGTTCTGGTGCCAGTTTTGGTTGTAAGTCAGGGACTACCTGTAGAAACGATGCTGGCACATATTATCATATGTTGGTATGATTTGAATGGCCCAAAGCTTCCTTTGAGAATGGAAATATAAATTCTATACTGAATCAACTGCAATTTGTATACAGATAGTAAATACCAAAAAAATGAAAGTTTATATTACCTAGTACGGAGCTTGGGAGATCATCCTGAAATACTCTTGAATATCACTTGTAACAGAATAGGCCAGGGGTCTTCAAACCTGACCCTTTTATGACTTGTGGACTTCAACTCCCAGAATTCCTCAGCCAGCATGCCTGGCTGAGGAATTCTGGGAGTTGAAGTCCACAAGTCATAAAAGGACCAAGTTTGAAGACTCCTGGAATAGGCTAATTTAAAGGAAGCTTATGGAGACATTTGTCTATATATTGAATTATAAATCATGACTATTGCAGTAGCTTATGAAGGCATTTCGACAGTTAAGTGCCATTGCCTTCAAGGCACCACCAAGAACATTACACAACATTTATTCCCTGACTTTCGGCAGCTTCTGCATTAGCTCAGAAATCAATTTCTACAAGCGAGTGGATAGTTTGTTTGAAAGGCTTGTCTTTTGACTAAGTCCTGTGTTTAGCCTTCTGAGCAACCAATCACGGGGCTCTTAGTAGCAAGCACTGGTTGCTAGGTGTGGCTTCCTGATGGGTCTATAAAAGTAGGAACCACAACTTACATTTTCCACCGACTCACTTCCCAGCTTGGAAAATATTGCTTCTGAATTTTGGAAAGAGGAAAGGTATGGCTCTTTTGATATTTGTCCTTTATTAATGGCTTTAGAAGAATATAGCTTCTTATTTAGTCTGGAGTAAATTATTTACTGACTTGGACTTATTTGTAAGTCAATGTAGAAATATATGAAATATATTTCATGTGCATATAAGTTTATATCTGATTCTCTTGCCTGTATTTTCCAGCAAGGGAGTAGAAAGTGTTTAAAACTGCATAAACTATGCACAGAATTAAAATTTGTAACAGTTGGTTGCTTAATGCTAAATAACTGCTTTTTTTTTCTTTCTTCCTGTTCTTTTCCGTTACCATGGAAAGCAGAATTATTTTTATCTACCAAAGTATGAGTTAAGAGGGAAAAAATGTGCCCAGTGTCTTTCTTATGTGGAAACTTTTTTAGAAAAAACACCCTGTGGTTAAGGAAAGCTTGCTTAACTGTTTCCCAATTGTTAAATATTTATTCCTTTGCAAACATCAGCCGCACCAAGAATAAAATATGGACTTTTTTTTTCAAAAAGGCAACTAAGTTTAATTATGTTTTAATTTGTTGGTAGTTATTTTTAATATAGGAATGTAAGAACTGCAGAATGTTATTTGCATTTTTTTTTCATTTTTCATAAATATATTCAGACGCGGATGCTGCTGCTTCTTCCTTGTTATGAATTTTTTTAGGAGTGGGGGTGGGGGAACGGGTTTTTCCAGTTTCTGCAGCTTTTGACCATTAAAGAAAAGTGACCTGAGAGTTAAGGAGTCCTGCACAATGACAGGAAAAAAATAATTGTCCCTTCATTTGGAAGGAACTTGCATATCAAGCTGAATCTGAAATGCCCCTATTAATGAGATGGAACTCAGGGGTTACTTCTGAGTAAATAGGTAGAAATCTTAGACATATTTTCTTAAAGTAAGTTTCAGTCTGTCGAATTATGCTCATTTTAGTCAGTTTAAGATTGGGCCTCCTATTTTACCCAATCGTTTCAATTGTAATCCCAAAAGTGTTTCTCCAGCCAATTTCAAAGGTTTGTAATGGTCCAGAAAGCAGTTCATGAAATGTACAAGTTGGCTGGATCTTAGTGTGTGTAGTTATAATACATAAATATACTCATAGCATCAGCAGGAATGGGACTAAATCTTGTGGCTGTCACTTGACCAATCATGTGGATCAGCGGCCATACTGGGAAATCTCCATTATTTTCCTCCTGGAATTAGGACCAGAATATACTCCCTGACAGCTGGGATGCTGCGGCAGTCCTGGGAACACATCACCTTGAATTTTGGACTTTGTGTGCAGGAAAAGATCTGGGAATTCTACCAGCTGAGATTGTTTCAGAAGTAGAGGCAGTGGGCAGTTGGGAGGGCAGTGGGCAGGGGTTGACAATTGAGGTAGTAATGGGATAGGGAGATATGGTGGCAGGCAGGCCATTCTCAGGGAAGGCCAACCTGGTAGCTAGCACTTGTATTGCCTTTCAGGCCCATGTGCTCAGCCTCCAAAGCCAAGTCTTCACAGCCTTGGAGGCCCTGGACTCCAGCTGCCCCTGCTTAATGCCAGGTTGGCCTGCAATAAAGCTTATCTCAGCTAATTATGGATGAGAGAAGTGACCTGGCCTGCATTACCAAGATCTAGTTGGTAGTAGATGTGGGTCTTCTTCTCTGAGAAACATATCTCACAGGTTTCAAGTGTGGCACCAGCTGTGACTCTGGGGCGGGGATGCTGAGGTGGCTGTTGTTATTCTGGATTCTCTAGTGGCCTTTAGGAGAGCTGCCCTGGACATAGCCAGATGCAAGCTCTCTTTGTGAAGTTGAGTTGCAGGGAGTTGGTATTTTGCTGAACTGGCTCCAGGGACTGGGAGACACTATTTTGTACTGGTTCATCTCCTTTTTCTGTGGACAGTACCTGTCAGTGCTATTGGGGGAGAAGAGGTCCAGCTGTAGGCCCCATTATTTGGTGTGCCTCAAGACTCAAGTCTCTCTCCCCTCCTATTTAACATCCATATGAAGCTGCTGGGAGAGTAATCCACTGGCATGGGGTTTGGTATCATCAGTATGTGGATATTAACCAATTATATGTCTCCATCCCATGCCCAACACGTGATTTTATTCAGGCACTGGTTTAGGGTCTGGAGCTGTAAGGGCATGAATGGGGAGAAGCTGGCTGGAACGCAACACTGGCAAGATGGACTGGTTTAGGTTTTGGTCCCTGGTATCAGGAGATTGACATCTCTGACTCTAGACATGATAACACTCCCCTGTAGAGATCTGGTGAGCAATTTGGCACTCCTCTTGGGCTCACAGCTCCTCCTGGAAGAAGAGATGGCAGTCATGGCCAGAGAATGAATGAATGATTGAATGAATGAATGAAATGAATGATACTGTCTTGGTTTTGACATTTTAGTACCCAAACTAAGTAACATCATCAGTGCTAGAGAGGCATTTGCCCAAATCTGTCTTCTGCACCAATTACACCCATTCCTGGATGTAGCTACCATTCTCACAGTCACCCCTGTCTTAATCACCTATTTGGATTACTGCAATGTGCTCTAATCAGGCTGCCCTGAAGACGTCAGAAATCTGCAACTGGTTCAGAATGCAGTGACACATACAGTTTTAGATGGCCGGTGGTTCACCCAAGTCATACCACCACTGCATGAGCTATACTGGCTTCCTGTTGCTTTCTGGGGGCAATTTAAGGTCCCAGTTATTACTTTTAATGCCCTACATGGCACAGGCCCAGATTACTTGCAGTACTGCTTCTCCCAGCGGGTATCTGCCATTACTAGGTCAGATAGAGTAAGTGCGCTCAAGTTCTCCTTGCTGGGACCTTGGAGGCATGCCTTCTTGGTGGCCACTCCAGGTCCTTGGAACAGTCTCCCACCAGAAATCAAAGTTACCCAACCCTTTTAGCCTTCCAGAGGACTGTGAAGACCTGGCTTTTCCCCCAAGCATTGGGCTAGGATTGGGGGTTGACCTGTGATGATGTTTGGTTTGGTGCCTGGGGGAAGGGTATGTTTTTAACTATGGCTTATGGATTGTTGTGAGCCACCTAGAGTCACTGTATGAGATAGGTGGACATTTAAGTCTTGTAAATAAATAGATGGCAAAATGCCACCAGAAATGCAATATAATTCTGCACATCCTAAAAGAGCCATTGATCGTTGCCCTAGATAGGTTGAGTGTTGGGGGAAATTTAAATTTAAACAACAGCAAAATTTGCTAAAGCAAAACATTTTTCTGAAAAAATTATGAAATGGTATGTTCTTAATGTCTTAATGGAATTCTTCATGGCTGAAACCAAGAAGATCTTAAGATCCACTACAAGCATAGCTTCAATTAGCTTTTTTAAACCCCTGGTCATTCCTCTCCTAATTCCAGTAACAGGGCAGTATAAATCAGTAAATAATTCTATTTCCCAACCTGGTGCCCTCCAGATGTATTGGAATTTGGGTTTCTCTTTCGGAAAGGGGGAGAGGAATCCTCTTTGACTTTTCTGATTTTTAGAATGCTTGAAACAGGTGAAAGGCCTTTTCCCTACAGAATAAAAAAGCAAAAGAAAGAAAAAAAGGGAGAACCAGTTTGTCACTTCATTCTGTTCCATCTTTTTTTTCCCTTTGCAGAAAGTTGAATCAAGATGGCCTTTGTATCAGAATTCCTGAAGCAAGCCAGGTTTATGGAGGATGAGGAACCACAATACATTGTAAGTTTCTCTAACAACTAATCAATTTGGCTTTACAAAGGAATGTTGGAAGTACAGTTAAATGAATGGGAGCTGTGATAAGATGGCATAGGGCAGGGAAACAACCAAAAACAGCTTTTCCTTTCTCTTTCCAAGAATTCCCTTTACTCCTTTCTTGAATAATCAATGTGTTCAACTCCCCACATTCATTCATTCAGAATAGAGCTGGAAGGGACCTTGGAGGTCTTCTAGTCCAGCCCCCTGCTCAAACAGGAGTCCCTGTATCATTTCAGACAAGTGGCTGTCCAGTCTGTTCTTAAAAAACCTCCAATAATGAAGCACCCATAACTTTTGAAGGCAAAGCTGCTCCACTGGTTAATTGTTCTCACTATTGGGAAGTTTCTCCTTAATTCCATGTTACTTCACTCCTTGATTAGTTTCCATCTATTGTTTCTTGTCCTGCCTTCTGGTGCTTTGGAAAATAAGTTGATCCCCTCTTCTTTGTGGCAGCCCTTCAAATACTGGAATACTGCTATCATGTCACCCCAGTTCTTCTTTTCTCTTGACTAGCCATATCTAATTTCTGCAACCATTCTTTGTATGGTTTAGTCTTCAGGCCTTTAATCATCTTAGTTGCACTTCTCCCCACTTTTTCCAAAGTTTCAACATCTTTTTTGTAATGTGGTGACCAAAACTGGATGCAGTACTCCAGGTGTGGTCTTACTAAGATTTTATAAAGCGTTATAAAGTTATAAAACATAATCAATAGGGTTTTTTTTTAGCTCTCCCCACGCTATTCTACAGCTGATATTTTACTAGTAAGTCCTGGAATGGGCAGCCTTTCTCCGATCTTTTTATGTATGCATTTAAATTGAACCCACTTTAATTTAAATTTAGATAACATTTGTAAATAAACACATTACATATTTCTGGAGATGGTAAATGGGGCCACGATGCCAAAAGTAGAAGCTTGTGGCACACACCAGGGAAAAGGCAGACTGTCTTATTTTTCTCTCCTGTAGTATATGAATAGGTGATGATATTCTTTTTAAATGATGTCAAGCTTATTTTTAGGACTTGCCTTACAGGTCTGATATGCTTTTCACTTCAGAACAGCAGGAAGTGGCTCTGTTGTTTTTTTAGNTCTTTGCTGCTGTCTCAGTTCCTGCTCATACATGGAAAATGTGCATCAGTCCACCTGTGTCTCATCCAGCAAATAACCTGGAGCAGAATCATGGTGATAGAAAAGGATTAAACTTCACTCTTCTGGTGCAATGAACAAAACCAATTTTGAAACAATCTACATTAATACAACAATTATACTCTCTATGAATGTAGTTTCCACTTCTTTCACATTAAAAACTAGTGACAATTGAGAAGGGTATTTTTTCAGCTACAGTTTAGCACAATTGTGCCTTTTCATTAAACATCAATAAGTATTGAGCTATTCTTCATCCTTTAAACATTATGACTTGCTCACATGGAAGGGCTAGGGTTGTTGGGAACATTAAAAAGAGGAGCAAGGACAGAGGTCTTGCAGTCCAAAGACTGTTGACTTTCTGTCAGAGATTGCACTGTTATAATCATATGAATGATAACACTTGAAGAGACCTAGGTCCTAGGGTGAAACGTTCATGTCTTCCTTAAAGCTATGCACCTACCTCAGCTCCGTTGCCAGCAAATTAGAATTAAAAAAGAGAAGCTTCTGGGGTTTTGCCTATCCCTGAAAAATCTTACAGTGCTCCATATTCCCTGTAATGGTGCAGGAGGGGTGACAGAAGAATGGGGCAACTCGCCATGGGCCAATTCAACAATTCAATTTAATTATTTAAAATAATTTAAAAAATAATTTTGATTTTTTTTTACTCACATTTCTTCTCCTTCCCTCATTTTGCATCCTTTCTTTGATGATTTATTCCACCATTTCTTCTATATCAGTGTAACTGTTGTCCCATGGGAGTTGGCCATGGTGAGTTGACCTAGACCAGGGGTCTTCAAACTTGACCCTTTTATGACTTGTAGACTTCAACTCCCAGAATTCCTCAGCCAGTGTGCCTGGCTGAGGAATTCTGGGAGTTGAAGTCCACAGGTCATAAAAGGGCCAAGTTTGAAGACCCCTGACCTAGACCTTTGGTGACAGTATTATCAGCTCAGCTTTTGCTACAGATTTGCCTTTTCTATTCCACTTGTATTGGATAGGGTAAGATTTCACTGACTAGTTTAGGAGCTCCTAAGCAACCATTCTCCAGTTTACAGTTTTGTAGCTCAAACATTTTTAACTTCATATTTTACAGAAAGCAGTAAAACAAAACAACAAACCCCATCTTGTTTCTAAAAAGTGGTAAAAGAAAAAGGGGCCAAGTTCTATACTTGGATGTTTTGTGAGATACCAAGATGTCTTGGTGGTATAGGTGTGTGATCTTGGACAAACATCCCCAACTTGTTATATCTCAGATGTATTGACCATCAACCTCATATTTTACAGGTTAAAGATTATGGCATGTGGGGATTGTGGAAGTTGAAATCCTATGTAATTGTTGGATATCCATTGGGAAAAGCTGATCTGGACAAAACCCGCAGCATTTTTACACCTATGTTTTAGCCTCAGAGTTTCTCAGTATTAATATAATTGTTGTGCAAAACCAGCATTTTCAATACATGCGGTCCTCAACTTACAACCATTCGTTAGCAACTGTTCAAAGTTATCACATATTGGAAAAAGTGATTTATGACCGGCCCTCAAACTTACAACCATTGCAGCATCTGAATGGTCACCTGATCTAAATTCCAGCACTTGGCAACCGTTACATATTTATGACAGTTGCAGCACCCTGAAGTCATGTAATCTCCATTTGTGACCTTCCCAGCTGGCTTCTAATAAAGAAAATTCACTCCACAACCAAGGTAAAAAGATCATAAAATTGGGCACAACTCACTTAACAATCATGTTGCTTAGCATCGGAAGTTCTGGTGCCAGTTTTGGTTGTAAGTCAGGGACTCCCTGTAGAAACGATGCTGGCACATATTATCATATGTTGGTACGATTTGAATGGCCCAAAGCTTCCTTTGAGAATGGAAATATAAATTCTATACTGAATCAACTGCAATTTGTATACAGATAGTAAATACCAAAAAAATGAAAGTTTATATTACGTAGCACGGAGCCTGGGAGATCATCCTGAAATACTCTTGAATATCACTTGTAACAGAATAGGCCAGGGGTCTTCAAACTTGACCCTTTTATGACTTGTGGACTTCAACTCCCAGAATTCCTCAGCCAGCATGCCTGGCTGAGGAATTCTGGGAGTTGAAGTCCACAAGTCATAAAAGGACCAAGTTTGAAGACTCCTGGAATAGGCTAATTTAAAGGAAGCTTATGGAGACATTTGTCTATATATTGAATTATAAATCATGACTATTGCAGTAGTTTATGAAGGCATTTCGACAGTTAAGTGCCATTGCCTTCAAGGCACCACCAAGAACATTACACAACATTTATTCCCTGACTTTCGGCAGCTTCTGCATTAGCTCAGAAATCAATTTCTACAAGCGAGTGGATAGTTTGTTTGAAAGGCTTGTCTTTTGACTAAGTCCTGTGTTTAGCCTTCTGAGCAACCAATCACGGGGCTCTTAGTAGCAAGCACTGGTTGCTAGGTGTGGCTTCCTGATGGGTCTATAAAAGTAGGAACCACAACTTACATTTTCCACCGACTCACTTCCCAGCTTGGAAAATATTGCTTCTGAATTTTGGAAAGAGGAAAGGTATGGCTCTTTTGATATTTGTCCTTTATTAATGGTTTTAGAAGAATATAGCTTATTTACTCTGGAGTAAATTATTTACTGACTTGGACTTATTTGTAAGTCAATGTAGAAATATATGAAATATATTTCATGTGCATATAAGTTTATATCTGATTCTCTTGCCTGTATTTTCCAGCAAGGGAGTAGAAAGTGTTTAAAACTGCATAAACTATGCACAGAATTAAAATTTGTAACGGTTGCTTAATGCTAAATAACTGCTTTTTTTTTCTTTCTTCCTGTTCTTTTCCGTTACCATGGAAAGCAGAATTATTTTTATCTACCAAAGTATGAGTTAAGAGGGAAAAAATGTGCCCAGTGTCTTTCTTATGTGGAAACTTTTTTAGAAAAAACACCCTGTGGTTAAGGAAAGCTTGCTTAACTGTTTCCCAATTGTTAAATATTTATTCCTTTGCAAACATCAGCCGCACCAAGAATAAAATATGGACTTTTTTTTCAAAAAGGCAACTAAGTTTAATTATGTTTTAATTTGTTGGTAGTTATTTTTAATATAGGAATGTAAGAACTGCAAAATGTTATTTGTTTTTTTTTTCATTTTTCATAAATATATTCAGAAGCGGATGCTGCTGCTTCTTCCTTGTTATGGATTTTTTCAGGAGTGGGGGTGGGGGAACGGGTTTTTCCAGTTTCTGCAGCTTTTGACCATTAAAGAAAAGTGACCTGAGAGTTAAGGAGTCCTGCACAATGACAGGAAAAAAATAATTGTCCCTTCATTTGGAAGGAACTTGCATATCAAGCTGAATCTGAAATGCCCCTATTAATGAGATGAAACTCAGTAGGGGTTACTTCTGAGTAAATAGGTAGAAATCTTAGACATATTTTCTTAAAGTAAGTTTCAGTCTGTCGAATTATGCTCATTTTAGTCAGTTTAAGATTGGGCCTCCTATTTTACCCAATCGTTTCAATTGTAATCCCAAAAGTGTTTCTCCAGCCAATTTCAAAGGTTTGTAATGGTCCAGAAAGCAGTTCATGAAATGTACAAGTTGGCTGGATCTTAGTGTGTGTAGTTATAATACATAAATATACTCATAGTATCAGCAGGAATGGGACTAAATCTTGTGGCTGTCACTTGACCAATCATGTGGATCAGCGGCCATACTGGGAAATCTCCATTATTTTCCTCCTGGAATTAGGACCAGAATATACTCCCTGACAGCTGGGATGCTGCGGCAGTCCTGGGAACACATCACCTTGAATTTTGG